GCGCCTCACAGAGTCTAGAAGGTTGGAGGGGGCTGCGGGAGGGCGGCGGGGAGCGCGGCCGGGGGCTGTCGGACCGGCTTCGTGAGCCTGGGCCTTGACCGTGGGCCCGCGGCCCGGGGGGAGGGAGGGAGGCCCCATGGAGGCCCCATGGAGGCCCGGTTAGTCCTGCCCGTCCCGCAGCGAGCCGGGCATGGCACTCCTGGTGCTGGCAGCGTGGAGGAGAGCGCCCTTCTGCGCGGCAGTGGGCCGGTCTGAGGGTGCCGCCTCGGGGTGACGGGGTGACTGTGTCTGTGGCGCTGGTGGCAGCTGCAGTGGAGATCCCTTTGTCTTCTGGAGGGCTTTTTGGACATTCCGCTGAACGCGTGGGGTTTAGGGACCTCCTTCATCTAGGGGTACAGTATCTGCTGGTAACGCTTTTGGTAGGTTGTTTAATAGCGTGACCAGGCCATTGGTGATGTTGAACGTGGCCATTTCTGCACTCCGTCTGCGTGCGTTCTGAATCTTGCTCGGGCTCTCTTTTTAGGATGTTTTAGAGTAATGGATATACAGTGGCATCACGTGTGGAGGGTTGGATGAAGATCAGGAAAAATCTCACAGCAAGTGGCAGAAAAGTTAGGCAAATTACACTTGCTGATCTAAAATAAGTAAATAAAATCCGTTTCCTCCCCACACCTGACTATCAGAGTAGCTGTGAACCTCAACCTTTCTTTTATGGCCTAATGTGTCATAAAATTTATGGTTTTAGACTGGAGCTTCAGGTAGCATCCTGACATCCCCAGATTTGCTTTTCTTGTTATCTTGTTCCTTACAGGGAGCAGAACTGGTAGTTAACCCAAGCAGGGATGAAGTGTAGAACTAGAGCAAAGAGGGTAGTGGAGAACATATGAAGAGCAAAAAAGAATAAAGAGGGAAGGGGGAAGGTGGAAGTGGCAAAAAATAAGAAAACTGAGTCAGAGTTAGGAAAGTAGGTCCCCAGATGCAGAAATGTGTTCAATAGGTAGAGGCAGGCCCTCAAAACCGATCATGAATTTTGCTAAAAGGTTTAGCTAAAGTTATTTTACGGAATAGGTTTGAATGTAGAAAGTAGGTTTGGTAAGATACCTGGGGATTTGATTAATGCTTCAAGTATTACTTGATCTTATGTTTAAATAACTTGCAAATATAAAAGCTGTTTTAAAATCATGAGTATTTTTTTTCTTCAGGTTGACAAAAATGCTGAATTGGTGGCAAGATGGTACTACTGTGCTCTGAGTCAAGAGAAGTTATGTCGGCCAATTGTAGCCTGTGAGCTAGGCAGGTATGAATGCTTCCATAAAGACCACTATACTAAAAGGTACTAATTTATAAAAAAAAGAATGTTATGAGAATCAAATATGACTACTAAAAATTGTGTGTTATAGGTTGTATAATAAAGATGCCATCATTGAATTTTTGTTGGACAAGTCAGCTGATAAAACTCCCATGGAAGCTGCATCACATATCAAGAGCATTAAGGTAAACAGGTTACGTCTAATGTTAGTGTGTGCCACGAAAGTTAAAATGTGCTACAAAACCTCAATTTGCTTGTGTTCTCACTGTATGCTAAAAGTGTTAAAAATAGCAAACCACAATGAAAAAAGTCTTAGGGAATGTTATCATGGCTCAAAAATCATTAGTAAACAGCTTAAGGCTTGCATTTTTATTTTTCAGAATGTAACGGAACTAAACCTTGCAGATAATCCAGCTTGGAGTGGTGATAAAGAGAGTATAAAAGGTGACAAATATGATGACATCCAGTCTGCACGCTTTATATGCCCTGTGGTGGGATTGGAAATGAATGGAAGACATAGGTCAGTAAGTTTCTGGATTTTGTTTTTAGAAGTGAGTACTGTGCTAAACTGAATATAGAGCAGGTAAAGATGTTTGAATCAATAATGTTGCAACTCATGTACTTACTCAAGCCTTTGTGGGGAGTATTTGTCCTCCTTTCAGAAGGAGGGAGTTCAGGAGACTAAGTGTCCTTTCATTTCATGTTCAAGAGGAAAGATAAAAAGTTAACCCTTTCCTAAATGAATTTATATGTATAATAAAGGAGTAGAGGGCAATGTTTGCAGAGAAAAAGTGACTAAAAGTTGTTTGGGGGCTAAACCACAGGAGGTTGGTATGGGCAAGCGGAGGTTGGTCGGATGAGACCTCCCTTTGTGTCACATCAAGCAATTCTACCTCTCCCTAGTTAACCCTTTCCTAAATGAATTTATATGTATAATAAAGGAGTAGAGGGCAATGTTTGCAGAGAAAAAGTGACTAAAAGTTGTTTGGGGGCTAAACCACAGGAGGTTGGTATGGGCAAGCGGAGGTTGGTCGGATGAGACCTCCCTTTGTGTCACATCAAGCAATTCTACCTCTCCCTCTGATAGAATCATAGAATGGTTTGGGTTGGAAGGAACCTTAAAGGTCATCTAGTTCCAACCCCCCTGCCATGGGCAGGGACACCTTCCACTAGACCAGGTTGCTCAAAGCCCCATCCAACCTGGCCTTGATGGGGCATCCACAACTTCTCTGGGCAACCTGTTCCAGTGCCTCACCACCCTCATAGTGAAGAATTTCTTCCTTATATCTAATCTAAATCT